CAGTATGAACTCACAAGCATTCCTTTTACTGCACATGTTATAACCTTTTACTATCATTTATTTGTTTTTGCTTATATTATCTCAGATTTGGTTACTGGGAGCTACTTTAAGTGAAGTTGGCTACACGTCAGGGTTCTTAAGCTGGATGAGTGTCAACTGGGCTTTGACTCTCTGGAATGGTATGTGCTATTTTGGACACAAATACATTTTTCATGTTTTTTTTCAAATTCATAAATAAGTCCACATTCTAAAAGGTTTTTTTAAAAAAAAAAAAACATTGTTTTAGCCATACACTTTAATTCCTAAATATTATTTTGGCTAATAGAGTTTTCAGGATTGTGTTGATAATTATAGAGCAAATCAGAATATTTTTCAAGGAATGAAGGTTGGCATCATATTCCTCCTTCAGGCAAGTTACTATGATGTTGTAAATTAGCTCTCATTAGAGCCTACTTTGTTGAGCAGCCAGCCCAAAGCATTAATGAGCACATATGTTCTTTAGTTCATATCATAGAGTCTCCTTCAGATATATTTTTGAAAATTGCATACTAATGACTAATCATTAACGTAAATGTTAAAGTGGAATGGAATTAAAATGGGGATCAGAGACAAAATCAGTCTGGCTTTGCATTAACTAAGTACGTGACCCTAGGTAAGCAAGCTGACATTAGTCTTCAATCACTCTATCTTTACAAAGGAGAATGTTACAGAGGGTCACGTCTGATATTTCTTCTTAAATCCCAAGGTGTGATCTGATGTCAGGGCATATCAATGGTAACTTTTACCTAAATTACCTGTGGAAAGAGAGCATGTGGCTGAAAAAGCAAACATTAGGAAACACAGACTTCTAGTGTAATACATCACACTAAACTGGTTTCTTGAGAAGGAACATCATGAATCCCATTTGCATTTGAGGACATTAGACTTCAAAGTTAAAAAGTTCAAATGATGGAGTTATCCTTTGAAATTCTACTGTTTTTTATTTTGATCATTTAAATGACAGTCCACCTTTACCCTTGTAAGTGGAGACTATTCTAAAACTCTTTAGGGCATTTCCTCCTTTTACTTTCATCATATTGCCAGGAGCCATTCCTTTCCATCTGGATGAAAAGCGAAGAATTGGTGCTCATCCTTTACAATTCATTGGGGTTTCCTCCCCCTAAAGTCCGTATTTTCTCCTGTAGCAGTTAATACATATCCCAAAGGAAGGAACCACTCTAAAAACATACCACTGTATTCAGACTGGGAAAAAACTGTTACCTGCCTAAAACACTCAGAGTTCAGTAAGGTAAGTTCACGGTAGCTCACATCTGCCCACAGAGTTTGAGTGCCAAGATACAAAGAAAAATTGTTGGAAAAATTTCTGGCTCAGTCCAATTATTTCAATTTTTCACCCTAAGAAATTTCATTTCTATTTCTTCGTTTTCAAAGATTTCCCACCCCCATTCTCTCCTCTCAGTTCTTGTCCTTTATTATTCCACTAGTGATTTTTTAACTAGGGGTATTCATCAAAATTACCAACTGGGCTTAACAAACAATACTCTTGATTCAGTAGCTCTTTCTTGACTCAGCATTTGCAGTTTATGATCCTTCACAGACTGGATCGCACTTTATCCAGTCCTTTGCCTGACTCTCTTCTTGATCAAATTTCTGTATCTCTGCTCACACAGTATTTCAGAGAAGCTTTCTTCTAACCTCCTTTGCAAACTAACCCCTGTCCCCCTTGACAATAGCCCTTTACTCTTATCTGTTTTCCTTCTTGGCAGTTATTACAGCCTGCAATCTCCTTTCTTCTTTAGAATTCTTCTGTAAAACTAGGACTGCTATCCCTATCTTACTGGTGAGGAAACTGAGGCACTGAAAAGTTCCTACTTGTGTACAAGGCCTCTCACCTTGTAGGTGTTGGGTTCAGGCTTGAACCCCAAACTGTCCTGCCTTTCCACCATAGAAGGCTGCCTCCTACACATTTACTGATTTCTCTGCGAAAGACACAACTCAGGAAGAGCCAAATGGAATAGACACCCAGAGCAATGCATGGAGGGAGGTGTGCAGAGGTCCACGCTCCTTCAGGGGCTGCACCCTCCCATCTGGGCTCCACCCTGCCTTCTCTCTAAATAATAACCATCGCCATGTTATCATTATATGAGACTTTCTAAGAAAATTCAAATAATTTTAAAAATTTATCTCCATTTTATCAATATTTTAAAGCCTTTGTTTTCTCTAGAAAAATGGGAATATTCCAATCTTGCAATATACTTGGGAAAAAAATAATGACACCCAAGAAGTGTTAATTTACTTCTTAAACACTACTTTCATTATATCACTAAGTTGATTAAAAGCCTTCATTTGTCATTTATATCCTCTTTTTAAAAAATATTTTATTTATTTATTCTGAGAGAGAGAGGGAGGAAGGGAGAAAGAGAGGGAGAGAAACTCTGATCGGTTATCTCCTGCACGTGCCCTGACCAGCAACTGGACCCACAACCCAGGCGTGTGCCCTTACTGGAAATCTAGCCAGCGACTTTTCACTTCGTGGGGCGACGCACAGGCAACTGAGCCACACCAGCCAGAGCATATAATCTCATGTTTTGAATTCAACATTTCTACCCTCCAAGATCGTTCCTAATCTACGCCCATGCTGTTTATACTCCTTTGTTCATTTATCCATTCTTTCTTTAAATAGATGTTTAATATTTAATAATTTAAAAACCTTTTTCATGATATGAAAGTATGAAATAAGAAATACAAGCTTTTCTTTAAAAAAAGAGTTCAGTATAAATTAAAAAGACAACCATGAGGTAAATCACTTTTTAGGAACTGTGCAGTAAATATCATCTGAGTGCTGGTATGGGAACTGAATTGACTACTAGGCAAACTAAAGGAAGAATGTATTTACTGAGTAGTCAACTAAGGCAAAGGTTTCTTGTCAATAGATTTTTACCTAGAAAACCTTTACATTTTCATGTTCCCTTCAAAAAACAAAACAAAATAACAACAAAATGAAAATAAGTAAACAAATCCCTAAAGACCCAGTTTAACTCCCAACTTTCTTATGAATTGAATTATTAAGGAACATCTCGTCAAAGCTTTCAATTTTATAAATACACAAACTAAATCTCAGGAAGGCACATGATTTGTCTAAGGCCACAGAGCCCACCCGTTAATAGAGCTCAAACTGAAACCTCTGCTTCCTAAGTTTCAATTTAATATTCTCAGCACGTGACTACTTGGGCAACTATTGCCATAGTTCCCTTCTCTGAAGTCTTAGAGAATTTATAATACAGCATCTACAATATGAGCCTTAATCATAGCATGTCTTTTATTGCTTAATCTTTAAAATCTCTCTTGCATTTTTTTCTCCTCAGCTAAGTTATAAGTTCTGTGAGGGCAAGGACCATATCAAATTTCTGCTGCATCACTCCAACAGCCTTCTTCACTCTGAGCCATCAGTTAGGCACCTAAGACATCTACCATTGACTGCCTTGCTAGTGGTAGGAGAAGGAGTCCATGAGGTATAATAACTAAAGTACCTGGGAATAGCATCTCCACAGGAATTGCAAAATTTTAGATAATGTTGGAAATAAATTTCACGTGGAAATCTGAAACATGATTATGCACTTCTGCATGTGTATATTGCACTGTATAAAGTACATGACTTGCGTTTATTCATTCAATCCTCTTGATATCCCTAATAAGTCCTATAATTTTTCTCACTTTCCTGATGGGAAGACTAAAGCAGGCACGGAGAAGCTAAGCAACATGCTCCAGTTTATGCTACTAGCAAGTCATACAATAGCCAATAGTTGAAGGCATTCATTTAATTAGCTCTGATGAAGCTTTATACAAGGCTAGCTATTGGTTTTCTGAGTGACAGTTGGTCTTCACAACAGGAATTGGTGCTGATGAGCAAATAAAAATGTATTTGAATTTCTACACTCATTTTGCATTTCAAAGAGACATGGTATCTGTGGAATTTTATGAACTGGCATCTCAATGAGCAAAAGTATATTTAACATATAGGCTTAAATATTAGGATAAATAAAATCATGATTAATAACTAACAATTTTTCTTCTCCAACATAATTATTTGCAATTTAATCTTAAGCATTGACAAAAAGAAGGTAAACCTCATAGATGACCAAAGAAGTTACATTTGTAGTCAAAAGCTAAAAGAGGGAAACAACAGGCTTAGGTAACAACATTTGGTAGATCAATAGAATATGTATTTCATAGTTCTAAAAGATAAAATATATAAATTTGATTGCACTACTACCTCAATTACCTTTTAGAAGTAGGTGATTTATAAATTATTTCTCCTTAATTGTTCTCTGACTATTCACAAGGAAAAGCACCAGTTTGAAGGATGTTGACTGAATGTCCTCTGGATATGATTAAGGCCCATGAAGAAGAAATATAGGACAAATTTTAAAGAGCCCTTTATGACTGCACTGCAGCACTGTGTCGAGAGTTGACTGTGCTTTGTAGGTATATTACCTTCATGATATAATATTGAAAAATGTCACTCTTACTCAAAGGCTCTACCAACAAGCATCAGACAGAGTTATCAGGCCTAAATCATTCTTTATCATCCTGGGATACAACATGATTCTGAAAAGAACTATTTTATCCTTTGTGGCCTACGTCAAGGCAGAGATTAAGTCCCGAAGGTTTAGCTTATTCCCAGAACAAATGAAGAAAACAATTCATGTCACAGTTCCACTGGATTATGACTTTTTCAAATTATGATTTCCCCTTGACGACAATAGAAAATTAGTTGATCAACCAAAAGAAATGTGTGCTTCATGCTTCCTTCCTTTCCTTTTGCATCCTTGTTTGTTAACTGTGTAAATCACTGTTTGCATTCAATGCAGTAATTAAACATTTTGGACATGGGGCACAGTCATGGAACTGCTCACATAGGTTTCCAGAAGACTCCAACAAAATAGATGTGAACTAAATGATTTTTTAAAAAGAGACTTCACAAAGAAGTAACTACTCACAATGTTCATCAGGGTGAGGAGGTAGTTCTGGACGTGCTCTTTGCCATGGAAACGGACCACAGAGTCATCCACTCCCAGCAGCACCTCAATGTTGTAATCGTTTTCTTCCGCATGTCTGCGATGCCTAATTGTTTCATTCAGCTGCCGGTCAATGTTGCGGTAACCAGTGCCTAGATCTTCAAGGCCTTCCAGATCTGACTCTATGAAAAAGCAAAAAAAGCTCAAGCATTTCAGCTTCTCCAACGGGTCTTCTAATACCTTTCTGCAAGATCTTCTAGGAGGCCCATTGTTATAATCCATAATCACTCAGACACTGGTTTTCAGTTTATTCCATAAACAATATGTACTTTTGTATGCCCAGACAGACCTCCTACAAATTCAACATAGAACAGAAACATATAGAAACACTGAGGGTAAAATGATATTACTGTACAGAAGGCAACGTTGCCATGCTGGTCTAAATGTTCCATGAGGGAAAGGGTAGTTTAATCTTCCTCCAGCTGATCCCCACTGCAGAGCAAAGAAAGTGAGGTACAAAGAAAGTGCTGGCTACACAGTTACTAAATAAATTGAGATTATAAATTAAAAAAAATCATGTGTTGATACGTTTACAGAGGTTAAATAACTATATTCAGAATGTAGAATTTGTATCTCAATACATATAAATTGCTCCTTTTTCCAGTAGCCTTAACTTAAAAATCCAGTTATAGCATGACAACACAACAGCATTGAGTGGTATAATTATCAGTCACTATCTATTACTTTATTTCTGCTGAATATGTTTTTCTAGTGAATGCTGCAAGGGAAGAAGTGGATATACAAGGTACAACCATTAAACATCCAGTTAACACCATAGGTCTACACAGTTGTGCTGGCCATCAGTTGGATAGCAGGTCATTTCAACTGCTCTATAGCTGAATCTACGAGATGCCAAAGTAAGAAGGTCAGAAAATTACCGATAGCCAGAGGAAAAAAAAGTATAAATGGTTTTTCAATTGTATTTTTAGTTTAAAAAATTTAAAAATTTTACTTTCCAAATGGAAAAAGATGCACAAACACACAGAGAGGTACATATACAGAGAAATACACACACAGATATACATACATATGTCTGACTGTCCATCTATCTACTTATCTGGAGAAAGTGAATGAAGCATCCTTAAGTTCTAAACATCTAGACCTGCCTTCAGATCACCATATTTTTGGCAAAGAAAATATTTTTGGTGGACTGAGAAGTAAAATCTGTCATTTGGATATTAAAGTGAAAGCTATTCAAAACTGCTGGTATAAAACTGAAAGTATATTCATTTCCATTTCAAATATATAAAGCCTGGAAAAAAATTTATTTTACAAACTGCTTGATGTCTAAAAACAACCACATATCTGAAAACACATTTGACAGAACCATGTCTGACTTCATGCTTTATGTGAAGGCTTATTTAATGCTTCACTGGGCCCTGTAAGCTATTGGAATTAGTGTGTGACATTAATGAATAGGCATTTTCCTCTCCACCTTTGTGGTTTTAGTCAAGTTGAGAGGTAAAAAAAGGTGTCTCTTAGCCAGAAAGACTGATGACCAAGCTATAGCCACATGGGATTAGAAATAGTGGAAGTACAGATCCCACTCATACCCTTTCCACTTAAAAGAAAAAAAAAAGAAAGAAAGAAGCACTAGCACCCTCCCCAGGAGTATGGGTGTAAGTTCTGAATGTGACTAGTCAGGTTTGAAAGCTATACTGTAATTCACTTTGACCCAAGCCCAAATGCTAGATCATTAGCTGGGAATTTTCTCCTCATCAGGGATTCACGTTGGCTCCACAACACATAAATAACTCTCACCACCATCCACATCAAACAGAAAGCTTTCCTCAAAAGTTGTTTTGGAGAGTTGTAAACCTCCAGTGAAGGCAAGCGACTACACCTGCAAACAGCTTTACTATTCAACCTCAAGTCTTTTTACACACTTGAAAATGTGAAAGGTTGTGATAGCTAGCATACAAATAGGAAATTCATACATGAACTCCCCGTTCTAAAAATGGTTCTCTTTGGCAGGACTGTCAGCGACCACATCCAATGGAAATATACCAGCAATGTCATCATATCATTAAGTCTGATGGCCGAATGAAGAAGGCTGAATACGTATTTCAGAGAGATGGTTCATTCTGCTCTAACACACCTTTGGTTTGGCCTTTCTATCTCTCCTTAAATAGGCAATTTTCTGGGAAGAGAAGAGAATCTCTTCTTTCACTGCATAGAACCTAGGAAGGAAGAAGGAAGCCTTTTTCTTTCAACCACTGCCTTTATTCAATCAAGAATACTTCTGTCCCTATTCCTCCTGTGCTGTACTGTATGTACAGTGTTCTTTTTCACAATTCCTAAAGTGAGCAATGCCAAACATTTCAAGGAAAAACAGTGGAATAACTTCTGGCACTTATTATCTATACACATCTCTATTAATTACAGGCAGCTCTGAGGCTGTAAAATATCTTCATTCATCATGAATTTTTCTCAGTATGCCTACTTAATAGTGTAATGGTAAAATGATTAGTAGCATGGGCTTTTAAGCAGACATACCCGGCTTTAAATCCTGAGAGTGTCACATCCTATCAGTGTGGTTTTATTTAAGATGCCTGACTTTGCAGACTTGCTGCAATGATGTGATTGATGATCATTAAAAAACACTGTGCCCAGTGCTTAGATTTAAGTGCTTAATAAATACAATTTACTGCTCCTACTACAATAACGATGCTGTGATGATGATTTCCCATTAAGAGAAGCCATCATTTTGAAACCTTCCTACATTCTATTTTGCACATCACAGATCAAAGAGTTGTGCTTTTAAAACACAGATGAGAAAACATTCTTGAGTTAGTGACCAAAACCCTGCACTGCTGGTGACTTTAGAAATGAGGGTGACAACATCTCCTGCAGAGCACAAAGTAGATACAAGAAGAGAAGATCTAGAATGTTTACGATTAATGTTAAATCAGGATTAAACTCAGTGAGACAGACTTGTTTAGTAGATTAAAAACCACTCAATATTGGAAAGAGCTGGCTTACGTGGCACTTACCTTCGTGCCACGCGTACTTACTGAGCCCCCACGTGTGTGGGCTCTGAGAAGGTAAAGAACGGCCTGGCGCTTCTCCAGGCGGGACCCTGGGAACCACGCAGCTGGGCTCGATCCATGTCCAGAATGTAGCTGCGTTTTACTCTGTAGTACCAGTGGTGTAGTCTGAGTCACTTTCCCAATTGCTAGTTTCAGTAGATCCAATCAGGGAACTAACACATGCCTTTTTGTAATACTTTGCACCTTTATAAAGCTTCAGAGTTAAAAGCTGACAAAGTCTGGAAAAATTTTAGATATCTCTGTGCCCCCCACAGGGTAGAGAAATAGAAACACTGAAGGGCAATATCATTCTAACCACGTCCAACCACACTCCCTGTCAGATCTGTCTACTGCCAGGAGGACTGGGAGGAATCACACAGAAATCAATAGGCAAGTTCAAGAAGTAAACGCTGAGTGACATTTTGAACTGGATGTTGCAAACTATGGCTTTCTGATGGCACCCTGTTGGCATTCTGCCACATAAGTGCACCCAAGGTGACCTGAACCACAGTGGCTGAGTGGGAGAGCAGAAAGTGATGCTTCCAATAACAGAATTAGCAGGAAAACCGAGCGCCTTTAAATAAGAACATATGCCCCTGAAAGAGGTATAATGATGCTACGGTTCCCCATACTTCATTCTCTAAAAGTGATTCTCAGAGTACTTTTCAAGCCCTTCAGAAATATCAAAGGCAATCCCTTCTAGGACTTAGGTTGAGGGAGCTTTCTCTTTACAAACTTTTTGGAAAATGGAAGTTTTCAAACTTACCTAAGGAGTTACTGATAAGAATTAATATTTTGAAAATACTTTGATTGTATCCTTTTGTGTACCCCCTAGTTTCCCAATTGCTGTATATGAACTTTCAGAAAAAGAATAGTTATACTATAAAAACTGTTTTTATTGAAATAAAATATTTTGGGGGACATGGGTAACCAAATCACAATAAGTATAGTAATTACAGTGTTAAATATAGAATTGTCATGTTAACTCAGAATTTTGAACTTATCAGACAGGTAAAGTAGAATATAACCTGTTTTGCTGATTATGAACCCTTAGGCTTAAGACAATTTCAGGATGGCACAAGGATGTGTATACACCTCATTATATTTACAGTATAGGATTGGCGAAATCAGCCTGTACCCCAGAAGAAATTCCTATGGTTTGAAAAGTGGCAGGAAACAAAGATAAAATCAGGAAGGTACAAGTTCTGATCAAGTTCTCAATCTGATACAGATATATTTGGGGTTGGAAAGCAATCCTAAGCACACTGTGATAAAGGCAGTGAGAGAATCACTGACCCCTTATTCTATCCTCTCCTTCCTAAGAAGCAGCATATCAATTTTATTTGAGGTGCCAATAAATTCAGCTAGTCATTGCCAGTCTCCCTGTGATGAAGGACCACATGTGCCTAAGAATAAGACAATGAGATACGAGCAGATGTTTTGCTTATACCTCCGTGATTTAAATTAGATGTATGGAGGGCTTCCACGAAGGCTCCCCAAAGGGTGACTCATCTTGGTTGGTGCACCCCTCCCTTTGTCCCTTTACTCAATATCTCCTCCTGATGCCTGGGAACATGAACATGATATCAGTTCTATGAGGTGACATTGAATCTAGGCAAGTGCTGAATATGGTAGGGCAGCTATAAAGATGAGATCTGACCCCACAATGACAGTGGAGCCACCATCCTGCCCTGGACTGTGTAGCGCCAGACTTTGCTACCCATGAGGATTAGAACTACTACTGTGTTTTGGCTTTTTTTTTAATGTCACAGAATATAGTCCTAATAGATATGACACTGAAAACATTTAACCTTGTTGTCTAGATTAGTCCTCCTACTATGTTTTGGAACGTAAGTTAATTTTTATGTGAATAAGTGAATGATAAAGTAAGATTCACTTTACCAAAATGTTCCATAGCAGCTTTCTTTATAGTGCATCTACTTTAGAAAATGAGAATCATACTGTTTTATAGTATCAAAAAATACAGAATGAGTCTATGTGAAGAAATTATGCATTATTTATGAACAGAATACTGTGATAAAAAATCAAGTAACTGGAATACCACAAGCTGGATTTTCAATAGTAGGTAGAGG